AACTCAGGATGAAATGTTACCAAAAGTCTAGAATTATTCTAGGCGTTTGTAATGACTGCGATCATGTGTTGAAGATGTTTATAAGGGGTGGAAATCAGATGTGGAAACTACTGCATCTTGCATAACGAATAGATCACCCAGTTTTAGGAAAGATAGAAAATCAGCAATAGGGTCTTGGTCTTGCGATAAAAATATTCTATCATTTCATGCTGGCTTTCACCTTGAAATGTGATCTATGAGAAATCACCTTCCTCCTGTTTTCATGATTTCCTCCAATCTAAAATGTAAACGTTGTGAGTTTACTTCCTAAGCGTTTGCACACAGTGTTGCAGAACATACTAGGTAAATTATTGTCAAGCATTTTGCACACCCTAATGGCCCAGTGGAACTGGGGACAGAAGGGAAATCCAAGGATAGAAAGATTGCCAGTGTTATTTTACAAGTATTTGACGTTAAGGTCTGCACTAGACATTTTGGAATGGAAAAAAAGCAAGTAATTAGAAAGAAAGGTCTTTAGAAGGTTCTTAACATGCATGCATTTATAACATTATGTATTATATTAAGATTTCTTTTTATTTGCTAAACCTTCCATGAATGTTGACTTAATTATCAGCCAAATCATTATCTTGTAAGTGATCAGTATTGAAGCAGATACTGTCTGCTGCAGATTAAAACTGTAAAGCATCCAAGACAGAGAGTTTTACAGTTTTGTCTATTTGGCTATGATTTTGAAATATCAACAATGGCCTTGATTTTTTAGAATATTGGCAGTAATTATTGTGGATTTGTAATGTTATCGAGAGAAATCCAAGAAATATAAATACATGAGTAAATGTCTTCTGGAAACTACAGAATAAATCAAAAGTGATTTCCCTTTTAAAATATTGTATTTCTTCCCTAGAAATAATTAACTAGCCTAAAGCTTTATAGCCATTTATTGTCCCACCCCAAACCTAAATAATGATAATAATAATAATAAAAAATCCTACTTTTTCATATTTTTATACCACTCTTCTTCCTTCTCTGCTTCCTCTTCCTTCACCATCTCCTTTTTTTTTCTTGTTATCAGTTGCACTCACCTTTGACCCATCTGCAAGATTTTTCAGTGTGTCTTGCAAGTAGGTTTTGTACCACGAAGGGGAAATCCATCACATAATGGTAAAGCAAATTGCAGACAAATAGGTTCAAAGAAAATACTTGGTAACATTAAAAAAAGACAACAAATAGCGTAGCTATAATATGTAATTTATCGTTATCCCAATGTGAATTTACGGGTTTTAAAAATTAGAATTATGTCTACTTGGAAATGTCCACTTGTCAGTCATCAAAGTTGCTCCTTTGATAATCCTGTGAACGCATGACCAGCACTGAGCACCTTGCAAAATTGAAAGGTAAAGATCCAAATTATAAACGAGGAGTCCACATTTTGAAATAGCAAAACAAAATACCCAGATGCCTGTATATATATTCATTTTTCACCCTATCTATCATTTTATGTATTTTGAATGAACCAGTAGAGCTGGAGCGTGCAAAGAGTGAAAAATTATTTTCAAAATGAGCATTGGAACGTAAGAGAATCTAGCTTTACTCCTGTCTGGCATTAACTAGGGTTTCTACTTAGGCAAGGCTCATCGAGTGAATAAATGTATACACATACACGTACCTGTCTGTAGGTAGCCCCTTTAGGGGGCCAGTATGTGCCTGCTTTGAATGACTGACCCTGAATCTACCTGTGCATAGAGTTTGTGTGAAACCTCAGAATGTTCTGATCCCTCTCTGACTACAGGGTCCTAAAAATACTAAAGAGAAGGGTAGTGATTCTAGACAAAATGCTTTCTGTCTTTTCCCCTTTCACCTCAATTTGTAAATAAACATTTCAATGAAAACGGGGCCATTTGTCTAGCCCCCAAGGGCTGTCAGCAGTTCATAGCACAGGACGTTTTCCCTACACTTCCCTTCCCTGAATATAGTAACTTTAGTATTTCTGCACCTGGGCCACACGGTTTTGTTGAAATGAATAAAGTATTTTCAAAACAAAAAGCATTTATGTATAGAATTTTATCCTTTGCTAGTTTAGTGTCATACAAAGTAACAAGTTCGTTTTTTTCATCATTGAAATTCCACAGACCAGAAAGCGTCCTTCTAAGAACCCCAGTTCCTGCCACTTCCCCAGATAACTGCCCTTCAGGCGTTTTCACATAATGTTTATACCTGCAACATTCTTGATTCCTGAAACTAGTTGCATCTGTTACAACTGATGAATGAAATAATGGATTACAGGAAGAAATAGTGACATAAAAAAATGATTATAAACCTAAGAAGTAAAACAGAATGGACTGAAAACACATATAAAATACATTAACAAGAAATATCCTAAGAATTTTCCATTTGTATTTTATGTCTGAGATTATTTCAGTTTTTTGATAAGAATTATTGATTATCGGTGAGCAAATAAATTATTTTAGGGGTCAAAAATATCTTGTAAAACATTATCAGTGGAGAGATATTGAAATAAAACCAAAAATTTACACATATTTGTTTTTTAAATTTTCTCTCTATAAAAGTTGTCATATTTTTCTATTATAATAATATTTCTATGACTTAGGGAAAAGGCTCTCTCAGCTTTATTTTTGGAAACGCTATTTGTGCCAAGTAGTAACTTCAAAGGCTCATATGTTCTTTCATCTAAACTGTTGGAAATGCATTGGAATAAGTCATTCTCCTTGAATGATGAAAGAATCAAGGGTATAGGTGTTTAGACCTGAGCTTGACTTATACTCTGACTTCTATCTTATTAAATCTTTGCTGTGTTTTGTGCTACTGACTCCCTTTAATATTTCAGACCCAGATCTTAAGCCTCAAGTCAAAGCTGTGAGGAAGTTCATTTCTCAGTCACTTGTGCATCTGTCTTTTGGAGGCATTTTTATTTGCAAACTTTTTACTTGAACGTTACGTTAGAGGAAATTTTTTCCCTCTTGTGTAAAAGCATCCTTGTTACCAACTTGGGGGCTCTCAGTACTCCATTTGTATCACAGCCTTTTCAGAAATCCCAAGAACCCTTAGACAAAGCTTGGACAAAGGAATGGAAGGAAATCTTGCCACACAACCCACCCAGGGCGCGTTCAAGAATACCGGTGCCAGTATTAGTGAGGAAGACAGATGGTTAATGGAGAAGGCGAGGACAGCTAGGACAATGGGATTTCTACCCAGAAAATCCCACCAGGACCTTTGCGGTCTATACACTTTTGTGATAGCGTTTCTGGCCCAAATCAAGACTGAATCTATCACTGTTCCCGCCTGGGAAGCAAATTTCTCAGATTATGTGAGCAACATAGTTGCAGATTCTTTTGGTGCTGCAGTACTGAACATGCATGCTTCTCTCTTGCTCCGCACGTGCCGATGCCCCCTCCCCGCTCCAGCTCGTGTAGCTGCAGAAGCCAACCAAAAACGACTAAAGAAGGAGAACTTTTCAGGTGACTCCCTCCTTACTTAAATAGTCTGCGAATTTGCCAAACATTTTAGTGGAACTTTCAGACATAATTAAGGCTCCATTAAGACGCCTTTTAATGGAACTTTTGCATCAATGAAACTGTGTGAATTAGACGGCTCCATATTTGCTGCGGGCCATTTATCAGCTTGGGGAGTGTTCATATTTCATGTGGGTCTAGGAAGACAAATAAACGGAAGTTAGGATTGGAGATTATGAGATAACTACTACTTATTTCCTGTCTTTATTTATCTTCTAAACTATTACTAGTCATTATTCCCTCCTCCGCCACCACTAACTAGCTTACTACTTAGGACAGACTCATGTTTTCTTCATTTTAAAATTAACGAAGAGTCTGGGAATCCTGAAACTTTCGTGTTTCTAGGTTAAATAGTGTGTTTATTAATTCAACTCCTGGGCAGACAACTTATAACCAGAAGCCTTCTTATGTGATTACATACAGAGACAATCCAGACAAGTGGGGTTTCTTACACTATTTCAATGTATTAATGACATGATATCCTGTTCTGTTATACCCACGCTCATAACAGACACATACCTGCCACCTCCTTGACCGTGCAGGTGACACCGTCTCAATATTCCTCTCCTCCAGTCCTGTCAATGTTTGTTTCTGCCTTTTCCTGTGCACCCATTAGCATTCAAAACTTTTTTTTTATGGTACGTTATTTCTTCACATATGTTTAAACTTCTGTCAAGTCATGGTGAGGTCCTCATGGCCTGGGATCCAGTGGTTCCCTGTAGGAAGAGCTCACCTATATTTTCTTGTGCTCATTTCATATACCAATTCTCAGACAAGTGTTCCTTCTCTAATTTCCACCATCATGGGCCCTAAGTTGAGGCCCTGGGGGATAAAATAAAATATGCACTGAATAGCTTAACAATGAAACAAATGTGGTATTTTTCTTTCTCTTTCTGGCTTCAGTTAGAATGACAATCTCCAGGTCCATGCCTGTTGCTGCAAATGGCCTTATTTCATTCTTTTTTATGGCTGAGTAGTATTCCATTGTATAAATACACCACAGCTTCTTTACCCAGTCCTCTGTCGATGGACATTTAGGTGGCTTCCATGTCCTGGCTAACAGCGGACTTCTCATAAGTTACTGCTCTACATGGCTCTGTCATTGACAGCCTGTACTTCTGTTGATTTTTAGTAGTTCTGCTATGTTTGTAAAAAGAACCCATCCTGTGTAATAAACTCCAGAAAATAAATCACAGCTACTAAAACTTGAAAACAATGTATTTCACCTTTGAAAAAGGCAGGTTACACAAATTAAAGCTAATGAAACTGCTTATCACTAGATGTGTTGGCTACAGGAATTCATGAAACAGAGACACAGGTTCTAAGTCTATTTTCCTACACTAATCTTTTTAGACTATGTGTTTGTCGCAATATATGTTTAATTATTCATTTTGATTTTGCCTCTGACTTCTCTTTCTGGGATCACTCCACAGTAATTTTTTGGGGGGATGGAGGGTGGTTTAAGGGACTAACTCCATCTCCTCCTGCAGTGCTCAGGCCAGGACTGTGAGAACGCATCAAGAAGAACTGAGTTCTTTGAACATTGGTTGTGAGTCTTTACTGTCTATTGGAATTTGTTTTTCTTAGCTGCTGATGGATTGTATCTTACTATTTAATATAGACCTTTTAAAAATTCTAGACTATTAAATACACCTTGTATTACATTAAGATAAATGATTTTAGGGAAAACTTATGAAAACCATATACATTTTTTTAAGTTGTGAACCTTCTCAAGGCACATAATCATGTTTACTTACTTATCCCCAAACCTCAAATGACTTATTTCATCACTTAAATACTAATTTTGTTTAAAATTCCTTAAGACCTAGTGGTGTGAAAAACATAAAGAAATTACACGAATATAAACCACATTGATATGTAGAGGTATAGGTAGGAGAGGAGAGAATGTGGATCAACTAACACACAGACGTGGACAAAACCCGAGTTCACAATGTTGGTGAGGAAAACAGTCTTTGAAGCAATTGCATATGTGTGTGTGTGTCTCTGTGTGTCTGTGTGTGTGTGTGTCTGTATGTGTGTGTGTGTCTGTGTGCGTGTCTGTGTGCGTGTCTGTGTGTGTGTCTGTGTGTATGTGTGTCTCTGTGTGTGTGTGTGTGACGTCCATCCACGGACAGTGATTCGCAGTAACTTTTTCATGGCTACTGGCTGCAGTGAGCGTGGGCTTGCAGCTCTGAAAGGTACGCTGTAGCATCACATCAGCAAAATTCTCGTGTTCCAGCGTCACTGGCAATCAGAATGGGCTGAGTTTCACTTCAGTATTGGAACCACTGAGCCGTGGTCCCGTCGACTCTGACGTCTCTGAAAGGCTGGCTGGAAGCCGTCGCTCACTGACTGTCAGCAACGTCTCCGTCTTAAGCTCCCAGGGCAATAGCGTGTTCTCTGTTATTTTCCTTATGTTGCTATTTTTGTTTATGTTAAAGTTTCACAGATAATGATAACTTAAGAATTAAGCTTATTGAGATTCATCTGAAGCAGC